CTTGAGGACCTGGTACGCCTCGCTCAGCATCTGAAACTGCTCCCGCTCGTTCTCCTGGGGGGGAGCGACAGGGGGGACTCCGCTCAGGAAGGACGTCGCCCTGGGATCGGCGACGCATCGCCGACGGATCGCCGAGAGGTGCCCGATGGCAAACTCGGGGCTTGGCGCGTCTCGTCGGGGACTTGTCGCGCCTCCTCGCGCGACTCCTTCGGGCCACCGAGGGCCCACAGGTGGGCCCCCGGAGGCTCCGAAGACGCTGCCCGGGAGGACGCCGCGAGGGCAGGATCGGACGTATGCCCCGGGCAGGGTGGGACCCCCAGGCCTCGATCCGCGATGCATGGGCGATTGGGGGGCTGTTGCCCCTGCCCGGAGCCCACCCCTGCTTGAGAGGCCTCCCATCGGGCGTTGGCAGAACTGGGTGTAGTGGACCCCCAGGCCTCGATCAGCGATGCATGGGCGATTGGGGGGCTGTTGCCCTGCCCGGAGCCCATCCCTGCTTGAGGGGCCTCCCATCGGGCGTTGGCAGAACTGGGTTTAGTGGACCCCCAGGCCTCGATCAGCGATGCATGGGCGATGGGGGGGCTGTTGCCCTCCCCCTGAGCCCATCCCTGCTGGAAGGGCCTCCTATCGGGCGTTGGCAGAACGGGGTGTAGTGGGACCTGGTCTAGTGATGTGTTCTGGGGTCGCCCCCCCCCCGCCCCGTTCCACGAACCAGAACTGCCGCAACCTGAAAAAAAAAACACCACCTAGGCAAATCTGGTTTAGTGATTCTGGCTAATTCAAGGGCTCCGGGGCCCTACCACTAATCGGGTCCCCTTACCTGGGGTCCTGGCCATACCCGATCCTAGATGGGGTCCGAGTAGGGGTCGGAGGCTCGCTCCGCATCTGCGATGCATCGGCAACGTCGGTGTGAAGCAAAGCGGGCTCCACATCGAGCCGCATCGTCGATGCTTTAAATGCCGATGCGACGCGATCTTCCGACCCCATTTACTCCGACCCCATCTACGAGCGACTGGGGGTCGATGTTCGCCTCTTGTTGCCCCTGGTCTCCGCGCCCTGCGTCGCCGCACCGGCGCGCCTCTTGTCCGGGTGCAGCTGCAGGGCCAGCCTCTTGAACGCCTTCGTGACCTCCGCGGTGGTGGCGCCCCGCTCCACGCCCAGGACATCGCCGGGGGGGCGCCAACCCGTCGACCTCCACACATTGCGATCCTTCCACGCAGCCGTTGCCAGACCGGAGAAAAAGTGGCAGCCGTGGGTCGAAGGTTTCTCACCGTTCTTCCTTCTCTGCCTCTGGGTCTGGCAGGGGTCCTGGCCTGCAGAGCCCTGGCTCCCGGGACCCAGAAGCGAGGGGGAGCGCCAAGGGGGGGACTTGGTCAGACTCAGAGTTAGGTCGGGCCTGTCCCCCTACAGGCGGATTTTGGACGAAAAATAGAAAATACTCAAAAAAAACACCTCCAAATAATCAAACATTAAAAAAAAAAATCGTTCCCAGACTATTGTTTGACTATTTTTGACTATTCCTCCTGTAGAGGGACAGGCCCGACTTCAACTCAGAAGGAGGTTGAACTTGAACCTCGAGCTGGACTCGCCGATGGCTCGGTGATGTACCCCCGACCGCGAGTGCGCACGTGCCTGGCTGGGGCTGGCTATCGGGCCCCCAATCGGCGAGGAGTGGGTCGATGCGCCCGCCCTGGGCCTGCCCTCCCCTTGTCGTGGCCCCTGCGGATCGAGATCCCAGGAGAAACAACACAATGCATACGGCAGGTTCGCGTCGTGTCGACCCCGGCGTTGGTTTCTGACACCGCAGGCATCGTTCAACCTTGAACGATCGGCCGTCTCCGCAACGTCCAATCGTTCAACATCGACCGATTCTGGGTCGCCGGCGGCGTTCAACCTTGAACACCCGCGCTGGGGTCGCCGCTGGTCGACACGACGCAAACCTACCGTAAGCACAGTCTGTTGACGGTCTGCGCGGACTTCTTGGAGCTGCACTGGACCGCCTTCCCTGGTGCGCGGGGCGAGCCCGGGGCGGCGCCAGATGCGTCGCCAAGGGGGCCCCAGCGCCGATCCAAGAAAACCTCGCGGATCTTCGACAGATAATATATAGTTGTGTGCATTGATTTTCTTCCTCGAAGGATCCTGGGCCCATCCAGGACCCGCGAAGTTTAGGCGAGTTCTCTTGGAAACTCATTCTAACATACACCGCCTCGGTCTAGTAGCCGTCGGTTGCCTGTAGCGGCCTTTCTTGTGTTACTCGCTTGCCTTCAGCGGCCAGTAGCCCTCTTTTAGCAGCCCTCGGTGGGCTCTGGCGGCCTGGAGCAGCCTCTAGCGACCTCCAGCGGACTTTTCAGCAGCCTCTGCGAAAATCACCCAAAAAAGAACTTGTTGTACAGTTGAAGCTCGACCACAAGAAACCTTTCACAAGAAATCCCAGGGCACCCTGGAGGCAAGCAAGGTGTCTCTTGGCATGGGTCATGTCGAAAACGCCACACACACACGTAAACACGTTTGGCGCTCCGCGCGGATTTCTTAGATCCGCGCCCGTTTTTTCTTTTTCGGGTACGTCAAAATGAGCTTCCGATAATCGGCTACAAGCACGAGTAACCCTGGGTAAGAATGACCTCTGGCGCGCGGCCTGTTGGAGGCCAGGGGGGGGGGCCACGCACAAGCGGGCAAGACGCTGCTATCGCACCGCGGTCGGCGATCGGGGGACCCCAGTGGCCCCGCACCAAAGGTCACTCCAGCGAAGGGTCACTCCTACGTTCAGGGGCAATGACAAAGGGGGGATTGGCATAGGGGGGGACGCATCGACCCCCAATCGCCCATTGATCGCCGAGAGGGGCCCGATAGCCCCAACCTGCCCAGGAATGTGCGGATTCACGATCGGAGTCCTATCGCCGGTCTATCGGCGAGGTATCGCCGATTCCAAATCGATGTTCCCCCCCCCCCCCCTATCCGTGTCCCCCCTATCGTTGCCCCTCCCACGCGCGGCCGGAAGAGAAGGCCCCACTCGACGAGGCGTTCCGCTGGCGCCCCCCCGAACTCGTAGAGGCTGCGCGCGCTCTCGCCGCGCGGGCGCGGCGGGCCGCCTGCCGGCTCCGCCTCATGAGCGGGGGGCATTGAACGAAGGATTGCAAAAAAACCGAAGGATTGCAAAAAAACCTGGGCTTTGCAAAAAAAACCAGGGTTGCAAAAAAAACAAGGGTTTTTTTGCAATCCTGGGTTTTTTTGCCATCCTTCGGGTTTTTTTGCAATCCTGGGTTTTTTTGCAATCCTGTGTCCAGTGTTGGGGCGCGCTCGTGGCAGAGCAGAGGGCCGTTCCCAAGGGGGGGGGCGACGCAAAGAAGCGGGTCCTACCCGGGGACGGCGAAGAGAGGATCCGGTGTTGGGGCGCGTTCGTGGCAGAGCAGAGGGCCGTTCCCAAAGGGGGGGCGACGCAAAGAAGCGGGTCTTACTCGGGGGCGGCGAGGAGAGGATCCGGTGTTGGGGCGTGCTCGTGGCAGAGCAGAGGGCCGTTCCCCAGGGGGGGCGACGCAAAGAAGCGGGTCCTACCCGGGGACGGCGAGGAGAGGATCCAGTGTTGGGGCGTGCTCGTGGCAGGCCCGAGGGTCGTTCCCAAAGGGGGGCGACACGAGGAAACGGGGCGGCGGAGAAGGGGGGGTCCAAGAGGGGGGGGCGCAACTCGGAGAGGGGGGGTCCAAGAGGGGGGGGGGCGCAACTCGTGGCCCGCGGCGCGTGCGCGGCCCGGGGGGGGGGGCTGGGGACGTAGGCGCAATGGAATATGGAGAGAAAGCGTGGCACCCGCGATGATATCCACCCCCACTATCTCAGGTCGGGTATGTCCTCCTACAGGCGGCATTTGGGGGGGGGCTGGGGACGTAGGCGCAATGGAATATGGAGAGAAATCGTGGCCGCCGCGATGAGATCCACTCCCACTAGTCTCAGGTCGGGTACGTCCTCCTACAGGCGGAATTTGAACGAACAATAACAAGTATCCCGACACTACTCCCCAATAGCTAAAACAAGTGAAACATCGCCCCGAGACTTTTACTTTACTATTTTTGAAATTTTTGAGAATGTTCCTCCTGTAGAGGGGCGTGCCGACTTAATCCTGGCCATATCATCACCCCCCTCTTGGCCGCCACCGACCTACTGACTACCTACCAGACCACCCCATACCCAAACCGAAGGCCCGAACTTCGGATTGAGGGGGGTGGGGCACGAGTTCCACACGTGTTCTTCCAGTGTTCTCCGACACCCCCCCCACTGGAAATGGAGGGTACACCGGGGCCTTCGGGTTAGGTTGGTGGGCGGTGACTTAATTGTTAGTCAGCGGCCAAAGGCGAGCGCGCCGGCGGCGAGTCAGGTCAAAGCGGGTTACGCAGCGACGAATTAAGCGAGGGCAGCGGGGGCGAGCCACGTCTAACGCGGCTAGCCGAGGCCTCACGCGGCGGCCCAGCGGCGGGCGGGTGGCCGGGGCGACTGAGACTGAGTCGAACTGCCAGCGTGCAAGTGTGCAGGGCGTCGGAAGCACCAGGAAGTCGGGAAGGCGGTGACTTACGACGCGAGATGCCGCCTTGACCTCGCGTGGCGGGGCTTGCGCGGGCCGCCGGCGCGGCACCTTTGCGTCCGAGGCGAGGGCGCCCGCGCGCGGCCGTACTACGCGAGGAGCTCGCGCGCAGATATCGGCGCAGGCGGCCCCACTGTTCCTGCGTCGCTCCCGCGGTCGTGCCCGAGGCTTCTCGGCCTGGGCGAAAAGGGAAGGGATAGCAAAGGGGGGGTTTGATAATCAGCTACCGTAGCTGATTTTCCTGGCGCCTCCCGGCGCCGGAGGCGGCCATGTATCGAGGAATGGGCCCCTCGGTGGAGCCGAAACCAGCTGCATGCAGCAGATTTCATAACCCCCCCTTTCCCTATCCCCCCCTTTCGCCCGGCCCGGGCTTCTTGAATCAAGAACCTTATGGTCCTAATTGTACTCCGAGTTGCTTAGAAAGCGTCGTTGGAGGCGTCCCCCCCGCCGACAGCCCCTCCTCGTCCCCCGTCGCGGGCAGCCGCCGCGCGCCGAAGGCGCTTCGACCCCCCGTCGCGGCGCGACGACGAGGCGAGGGTGACCCCCTTTCGGGGGGGGTTACCCCCCCACGCTTATTCAGAAACTCAGAGTACTGTTCGGCAGGGCTCAAGCTAAACAGTGTTTTTCGTTTTCGCCTTGTTTTCGTTGTTCCTCGTTCTGTGCTCATTCTTCCTGTAGTGCAGAACGGAGTCGGAACGGAATCGGCCCACGAACTCGCCCAAACGCCGTTTGGCTAGAGCCCTGCTGCTCGGTCCCACTGGTTGCCGACATCAGCTTTCTTGTGTGGCTTGTATCGGGGAACGAGAAAAACTCGGAGGTCCGCGCGGATTTCTCGGATCGGCGATGGGGCCCCCCGGCGGCGCCTCCGGCGCTGCCGCTGGCACGTTCCGCGTGCCAGGGAGGGGGGTCCAGCGCCGATCCCAGAAATCCGCGCGGACCTCCGAGCTTTTATGTTTATGCAACTTTTTGTTTCCCTATTGTAGGCGGGCGCTCTGGAGGAGAGGGGCTCCCTGGAGGCTGCCAGCGACGCCCAGATCCCATCTCGCGTGGCGACCGACATCACGACGGCTTTCGGCTTCGCCCTCCTCGGCCTCCGGGGGCCCGTGACACGACTCGGGAGGAAAAACGCCAGTCTTGAGCGCGAGCGACGGGGGGCGCGATGAAGGAGGGAGGAAGACAGGTGCCCTTGTCGGGCCCTCAAGTGCGCCCCCTCTTGAAGCCCTTCCGGGCCCCTTTTCGGCAGCCCTTGCTGCGCCCCCCCCCCACCCTCACTCCACTTATCGCCTCCCCATCACGTGAGGCCCAACTTCGACTACACGCAAGAGTGACCCTGGGTAAGAGTGACCTTTGGTGCGCGGTTCATTGGGGGCCGCTGGGAGACCAAACACGAGCGCGCAAGACGCTCATACAGCATCGCGTTCTGCGATCGGGGGGGTCCCTTGGGCCCACACCAAAGGTCACTCCGGCGAAAGGTCACTCTTACGTGTAGTCGACAACTTCTCGCTCTCTTCGGCCTCCGGGGGTCCTTGCCGGGCCTCGGGGCCGTCAAACAGCGACCCAGGATGAAAAGCCAGTCGCGGGAAAGGGACCCGGCCCGCTGAGTGCACATGCTGTGGTGAATTACCAGCTCGGGAGTCTGAACAGAGGGCAGAAGAAGCGAAGCCCTGTAAGAAGCGCGCCTCCATGAGGAATCGG